ACATTGGTGTCTTAGAGATGCATTGTATCTCTAGAGACTGTTGTTTCACCTTTCGCTTCCGCATTTCGGATCCATTATTGGGTCATCTTTTGGTCATCACTGATGTACTAGGTTTACAAAACTTGGGCCATCACATATCTCTTTTGCTGTAAAGGTCCAATAGAAAGAGGTTACGAAAGCTAACCTCTCTCAACCAACACTAACCTCAGCACCAACGAGAAGGACTAGATAGAGCTCAACTAAGAAAAGGTAACCTCACAAATCTTCAACTCCTTTTACGTTGTACTTTGCTGTAATACTTATCTCTTTTCCTTACAAACTCCATCTAAACATCTGATGAAAACCCCATTGACTCAGAAAAGACTTGAGAGAATCCTCTCCCAACTAAGGAATCAGCAAACTCCCACTTCCAAGGTACCTTGCTTACCTCCCTTCTACTCCTTTACCACCCTTCTTTTTGACACTTGTTTTCTCAAGGCAAGAGAGTAAAATCAACTGCCAAAGGTCCTCAAAAGACCCAAATCATCTAGGGTATGGAAAGAGTCATCAATCTGGAAGAGGATCATTTCGCAAAAAAGGCCAAATCAACTCTTACAACTGATTTAGAAGCAGCCCCAGTTTCTCAATAGCAACCAGATCAAACTCAGTTTACTCCTAACCCTGTTGCTCCAACAAACACTGGCCTCTCCCTTTTGGCAACTTTTGATGATCATCACACTAAATCAAAGAGAGAAAAAAGTCTTATGATGATGAAGAAGAAGATAAAGATGAAAGAGAATAATTTCAGGATCCCCTAACCCAACAACTTAAAAGCTTGCATCAGCCGTTACCTCAGGACAAGTGGTAAACTCATAAGAGGTATTCAATTTACCTTTCTTCTTAAACTATTTGCATTTTCTTAATAAACCATCCCCTTTCTAACCAATCAACATATCTCGACAGGCTAACCCCAGTCAAAGTTCTCTATATCAGTACCACCCTTTGCCTCACTAGGAGACCTTTTCAAGACAGTGGTAGCTTTCATTAATACATATCAAAGCATATCATCTAGTTTCACCTTTACCGAATTCATCAATACCCCAGATAAAATCATAATGGTAGCTAATCAATCTCTCCAATTATTATCGAAAAAATACCATTTTGAGCTCCCGTCCTTCGATGGTGAACTTACCAACATTCTCACCACTCTTAGCCAAGACCCTAAATTCCCAATTGATCTGCATGGGGCACTGAACATGTTCTAGCTTTAACTACCTATCCGTTCAACTTTTATTCACCAAGCGTCTCAAATGGTAAATCAACACATCATCAAACGTGAAGAAAAATAAAGCCTTAAGAAACAACTATTGGATGGCACCACCACTTATTCTCAGCTTACACATGAATCGGCCAAATTTTTTTTTTTTTTTTTTTTTTTTTGATGACCCAAAACTCCTTGAAATAAGGCCCCTTAGGGACCCCACCCCATGGCGCCAAACTGGGGGTAATGTAGCACAGCCCCATAGCCACACACCGGATGAGTCGAGAACATAAGAGGCTTGGGAGGTTCGAACATTGGCCAAACTTGATAATCGTAAGAAGATGTTTTTTTTTTCAAGAAATGGCCTAACTTGAATCTAACAGGGTTCAACTGAATGTCAGGTTTGCTGATTTGAAAACCAATACAAAAGAGCATGCTCCAAAGCATGCCGGAGCACCTAACTTGGAGCTTACTAAGCACCAGGATGAGATTTCTTTACAATGGTCCAAGGTGATATGGACTAAATTCAAAGCCAGACTGGATAAATTAAACAAGCTTGGTGACCAAACCCCCCTCCTGTGAAACTTTTCTCAAATTCCGAACACTTATTTAATTTAGGTTTGTATTATTTGAACAACTATATTTTGGATAACTTTGTGAATGTTTATTATTACTAGTTTTTATCTATTTATGAAAATACAAAGACTAATTAAACAACAAAATAAGATGTTATTGAGTCTTGTTGAGTTCAGTTGACTCCTTTATTCAGTGAAAACAAATGAAAACGAAAAAAACCTAAGAACCCACATCAACCACATTGATTGGCTTATTGTGGTTACTTCTTTCCTCCATCAACTCAAAGATATGGTTGGTTGATACTTTTTGAGATATTAGGTTTGTCATGTATTTCACCATCCAAGTCTTTTAACTTGTGTGCCCCACCATTTAAAACTTGATGAACTAAGAATGGTCCATTTCAAGTAGGAGACTCTTTCCATTTTTCCTATCAATCATACCAGGTGGAAGGATCGTTTTCTAAATCATATCTTTATTAAAAAATGTCTTAAACTTAACCCCCTTGTTATAAGTTGTCATGACTATCCTTTTATGGGCCAAAAAATGGTCTAATGCTCCTTGTTGGATTTCTCTTGAGTCTTCTAATTCAGCCATCATAGCTTTATTGTAATTGGTTGGAGTTAAGTTATTTTGTAAGGAAACTCTGGCAAATCTCACATGCAGCTCCATTGGGAAAACAACATTGAAAACCTAAGAGAGGGAGGGGGTGAATTGGTTCAGAAGTTTGAAGTTTGACCGGCACACAAAAGCTATGAAGTAGGACATGTCCCAATAACTAAAGGATAAGGAAGGGTTTCTGTTTGTGTTGGAAAAGTAAAAGCAATAACTCTCATACTTGAATACAGCTTGGTAGTTCTATAAAGAAAGGGTTCCGAGTCAACCAAAATGATTCGACAAAAATTCATAAGAAAGTCATTTCTCACGAAAGAATGATTGACTAACTATCCCTAACCCATGGCAACTCCATGACGTCATTTGGAGCCTAGGTAGCTTAATCATGCTAGGGCAGTCTCCCTAGTTCCCTCTAGGTCGCATTAATGCCACGAACCCTGGGTAACTCCTAGGCGATCAATTTTTGCAAACAACTTTCCAAATCCTTTCCTTTCAAAGTCATTTCCCCAAAAACTAGTTTCTTTTCTTTTCTTTTCAAAACCTTTGTCTTTTTCCTTCCCAATGCCGTTCATGAATGTTATATGTATTTCAGTACTATGAAATTCCGTAGATTCAAACCACCATCACATGACCTGCTTGGGAAAATAATTAAAACAACATATATCATGCCTTCAATTCATCAACTATGGCTATTTACGCATTTAGTCCATAGCCAATGTCAATTTTACCAACCATTCCACAATAACTCATATAGGTATGCATTATAACACATTGAAGGCATGTAGAGCATGTATATCACCAACTATACAACCATATCATCTTAAATATGTAAAACATATAATACTTCAATTCAATTATTTATCTTGCAATAATTTAATTAACAAGTATATCAACACATTGCCACACAAAGAATATACTACCATGCTTTACATATAACGAAGTCTAATAACCATAGGAAAATTTTCACAATTTAACATGCTCTCAACACAATACAAGAAGGATAACTCACAAAAATCAAGGTGGTGAGATTTCGAGACCCTTACCTCACAATTGAAGAACAATCCCACCAAAACCCCCAATTTTTGGAATTCCAAAGATGGTCCAAATGGTACTTTGCTCTGATCAAAAAGTAAGTCTTGACGAGCTCTTCAACTTTGCCTTAAGTGGCAATATTAAATTCCCAAAGATAAGGGAGGATCAAGCTTTGAAATTCATGGCAAAAGAAAAAGAAAAAGGAAAGAAATTGAGGGAGAGAGAGAATCTGACGGGAGAGAGAGATTTTTTGATTTGGTGATGACCAAATGTGGTTATCTATAATGGCCATAAGGTGGTGGATCCCGCGGCCTTAACAAAATTTAATTTTCACCACAAAATATGCATATATATATTTATTCTAATTAAATTATAGTCACACAATTAATATACAACCATATAAATATGCATAAAATAACTATGCATGAAATGTAATGAACCAATGACACAACCCCTGTGCACAACAACCCCGATAGCGAGTCCCACTTGGGACCTCCCGGTCCGAAAAATAGAAAAATGCCGAATGGCAACCAATGTATTTCCAAGAGTCTTGGATTCAACGAAATGTCCCAATCAACACTCTGACACACCCGACACATCCCACGCTGTCCGGTACGCAAAATAAGAGAAGAAGAAAATACCCTTAAAAAAATTAAAAAATTCTAGAAAATGAAAAATGGCAAAAATCGAAAATATTACGTACACTTTGAGGCTTGGGTTGCGAGCTTTGCCCTTTTGAAGAGAGGATTTTATCCTAGACAGGTCATTGGTTGGTTGTTGAGCTTCGGTTTTAGGGTGAGTATATATGTACAGTGGTTGTTTCCCTCTTATCAGAGGTAATTTTGCAGTTGTTCTAGTGCGTAATGTATGCTTAGGAGGTCTTGATTCAACAAGTTTAGAGGAATGAGCTGGGATAAGTGGCCGGCGTTTAGTTTTTCTTCCTCAAAACATTGTAGTTTCAAGCCTTCTTTATTATTAATTTATTTGGAGCATTGTCAGCCCTAAATTTAGGTGAAATGACACATATTAAAATCATAACAATTCAACTTAAGATAATGTAGAGAGATTTTTAACTTAAAGAATCCTAGTCCGTACACAAGACTGCAAATTAAATTTTTGCAATTATTCGTAAATCATACTTCTTGTTTATACTAAAATGTTATAGGATCAATATTAAGGGTGATTTCATTAAGTTACAAATTGTGGTGGGAGTTATTATAATTACAAAATAAAGTAACAAAAATTGATGCAGGCAAATTTTAGGTTGGTAGCAACCTACACAGAAGCCTTAAACAAACAAAATTCAAGGCTAGAGTGCTTGGAAATGTGGATGTTGAAAATGATACTAATTTCATTTATTCATCATATGCACAAAGCACACCCACTTGGACGCTACAATTTTATAATGGAAACCCTTAATTTATATTCCATACATGACTTCACTAACCACACAACTTTACCACTATATATATATATATATATATATATATATGATGAAGCTCATTTAATTAAGACTATAAGCTAAGTAAATTTAGTGCATTTCTATAGAACCCAAATCCCAATTGAGTGCAATTAATATTCTACGAATTAACCACCCTGCAGTTCTTCCTAATCTCTCCATCTGAGCCAGTTAGGGGACTTATATTCCCCATCTTGATCATGGAATTAGCAAAGTCAGTGAAGAAAAGGTCAGAATTGTTGCTGTAACGTTCGACGAGACTCTTGGTTGTGGATCGGGCGGTGTCACCGGAGAAAAGAGTTTGATCGGATTCAAGAAGACCCTTTCCGGTGAGCAAGTTCTTGAAGTAATGGTTGTCGAATAGATCCGAAGAGTTCCGGTCAAAAGTGGCTGTTTTGTTTCCATCTCCATTTACTGGACACAAGCTTTGCAGATCAGACAACATGCTGCTTTCTAATAAAGAGTCTGGAGCACCGGTTGCATTGAAGTTAAACAATCTGTTGTTGAAGGTGACACACCTTGCTAATCCAATTGTATGAGCACCTACACATACATATCCACAATTTATAATCCAATTGTATATTGACTTTAAAATGTTCATAATCTTATTATGTCTTCTAGCTAATTCAACATATGGGTCATGTTGAGTTGTGGCATGAATTCTCTTTCTGGTTTGGTCATACTGCGATTTGGTTTTGACCTAAGTTACCGAATTTTTGTACCCTTTTTTTTTTCAGGGTTCTCGGACTCAGTTTATAATCTCTATTGTAGGGTGATAGATTGACCATTGAGAGACAAAAGGTGTAGTAGGGTTAGGGTTTGAGTAATTTGTACCACTTTTTTCTTTTTGTATAATAAAATCTCCTTTCCGTCTTTATTCTGAACATAGTTATAAGTCGAACCATGTTAATCTCTTTATTATATGTGGCGTATTATTATTTTTTGCTTCATTTTGTGTCCTTGACATATGTTGACACTAACATAGTCGAACCATGTTAAATCTCTATATTATGTGTGGCGTGTTATTATTCTTTGTTAAAACACAAAATCTAGGTACCTGATAAGGACACAACATCTGTGACATTGAGGCCAACGGCAGAAAACTTTTGAGTGATAACATCGAGTGATTCAAAGGGAGCAGGAAGCCCTAAATTTGATCCTCTCTGGTTTGCCACCAGTCCATCCCTTCTTCCTAGTACAACTTTCCAAAAAGGTCCTCCACTCTGCAAAACGTTGCCCATTATTTAGTTTCATTTATGGTACTACAAGTGATATTATAAGACACAAAAATTAATGTTGCAAAAACATTTCAGCAGTACTATTATAATTAGTAATTTTAACATGGAACAAATTGGAAATTCTCTTAATTCTAGAAAAAATCAAACTCATATCTTGTGAAAACAGTTATACTTAGTTAATTGTACTTTTTAGTCTGTATCTCTTTTTTAATTAAGATAGAGGCAATATCACCATGCTATAAGCCTGATTCTACAATGTACGTTAAAACTATATTTTTAACAAGTATTACCACTAATGCTATCAACATAATTTCAAATGGATTTTGGGATAGAATTGCAACATATATATGATTTATTTGTCTAAATTTGCTTGGTTAGGGAAAAAAAAAAATTATAAAACAATATAATTTGGCACATAAAAATTATTTTTTCCTACAAATTGGTTCCCTGTAACAAACTTTCTCACATAAAGAAAAATGCAATTTACACTTACTAAGAGAACTGAATCTCGAGCCGCTATGGCAAGTATGTCTGCGCATGATACAACTCCACTACATGCACTCTCCACCGAGCTTTTGATCCTGTCCACAACTTCAAATCCTCGTGCCGAGTTAAGGTTAGGTCCAGAAAACTTCTCACCATCACTTCCATCCAACAGAACCGATGCATCACAACCCTAATAATAAGAAAATTAATACAGAATATATAACAAGTCCACTAATGATATATTCAAAATAAAAGAGAGCAAATAATAATAATAATAATAATAATAAAAATAATAATAATAATAAATGAAAGTGGGTACATAAGCATGTCCACTGATGATATATTTAAAAGAAACTACTTTTTGATAATTTAAAAGTTCCCTTTGTTTGTCTTAGGCATTCAGGGAAAAGCTTTAATTTTCAAAAAAATATCTGTTCTTACACAAACCCTAGAAGCTGGTTTTCCCTGAATAATTTCGGGTATGAGAAAAATTTTATGTTTTTAGAAAACTAGAAATACATAAATTGTAAAAAATCTTGTTTTGATTGTCATTTAATAATATATATCTATATATATATATATATGACAGTTATATATATATATATAAATTCAGTTAAAAAAAGACTTTTTCCTGAGTTAAAAAAAGACTTTTTCCTGAGTTTTTGAGAATCATTTTATTAAAAGAATGAATTTAACACAGATTGTTCTCCTTGGAAATATCAGCTTTCCTTATTCTCTTTTTCTTAAATAATTTTTAGTCATGAATAAATTAAAAATATAGTTATAGATCGGCAAAGCTTTAGATTACTAAACACCACTTCATCTTGGAAAGCTTTAGATTACTAATTAAACAAACACCACTTCATCTTGGAAATATATATCCAACTTTGTATAAAACAATCAAAATATAAATTATGTACTGATATACATATGTTAATGATGAAATGCTGTGATATATGTTTCTATGAACTTACATTCACAAAGCAATCATGGAAATGAAGACGAATCAAAGAAGCCGCCATTCGCATTTCAGTTTTGATAGCATTCTGGACCTCTTTACGTACAATTTGGAGAAGAGTTGGACAAGTTGTGGAGTAAAAATTCAATGTCAGTTGGGACCTCACTCCTAAAAACAACACCATGAAAGTTATAACAAGCAAAGAATAACCCTCAGAACTGCTTGACCTCTTCATGTTTCTGAGACAAGCTTTAGTAAAATATCGAAAACAAGTACTGCTGCTTAGAATCCTAGTTAAAACTAAGTGTAATGATGGATTGATATGCTTGAAGCCCTCAAAGCTTAAATTTATAGTAACCAATATCATGATCTATTGAACACGTTTTCACACATTGTTCTAATTTTAATTTGTACTTTAAGCCAAGTGCTAGCTGTGATGTATGGCGGCATAGAGCTTAGAATTAGTACTGTAAAGCTTGCAGATAGATTAATGGTTTTTAATATTGCCGACACACGAAGAGATGAGAGAGATGAGTGGCTTAAGAGTTATCAGATTACATAGATAATATATAATCATCCCATGCAAGTTCATGAATCAACACACACTCAGAATTGTAAAAGACTTTTTCAGAATTGTATTTGTTGGCCGACTTCCAACTTGATGCACGATCAAGTTGTGCATGAATTTTTTTATGTCGATCAGCATTTAGCATTTCGAATATTGGACTGATGGCTACAATCCCATTCTGCTGTTGATGTTGATGCTTTGGCATCTAGTTCTTTATGAAGTTAATTAATTAAATGGTTCTAAGTTCACACACACACACAAATATTCCTTTTGTGTTCTTGCATTGATCATCCTGAGGAGCGATATTGACTTTCTATGGATCCAATAAAGAAACAAGAGCATGGGTTTTTCCCCATTACTTTTACTAGGCAAATCAGATGAGGATCCTCTCTGTATATTTTATGGTGCCGTGTTTTATGGTGCATTTAAATTAATAACGCAACAAACTTTAAATCGACAATCCAAAAATTACTTGCAGGTGTTCAATTCTCGATTTCATACTGTTGTAATATTGTAACATGATGTAATATATTGTATGGGTGTTGCATCTTTGATGTGAATGTGTTGCATAGACGTTGAATCTGTGATATAGCATGTTACATATTGTGACATAGTTTGCTGCTGAATAATTTAATAATGCACATGCGGTAGTAGACCGATTGAGAGACACGAGAGGGTCCAAGTCTGTGCTACCAAATAAAATATATACATAGGTGTGTGTGTGTGTAAGGTACGTTAATGAGGATAAATTATTACATAGTTCGGAACTATTGGTCTCGATTAATCACTAATTGACACATAAATAAAAAGTTCAACAAAATTGATACAATACTAACGTATTTATTTGCCCTGTCAATTAATGTTTGGCCTGTGGGATCAATAATTTTGATATCATGTAATAATTTTTCGTTGATGAGAGACATGTTCAGTGCTTTGTGAGCTGGCCGGGCAATATGGAGGTACAAAATGGAGAGAGATGAGATGAGAATGAGGTGGAAAGTTAGCTGTTTAGTTGTGGCTATGGTTGGGTTCTGACAATTTAATTTTAAAAGTATTGATGGATGTGTAAGTTTAAACAAAGTCAATGCAATTGAATACTCATATAAGTAGACGACACAAATTCTACTGATGTATGTTTGAAATCAAATTCCTTTTCGTTACACAATCTAATCGGTGCAACAAAATCTAGCTAACGAACATCAATTCGAGATTCAAAACTTTGATATGAAAGCTAACTCTCACACACATTTTTGTCCACTAGTTATATATATATATATATTCTTCTTTGACAAAACATACGTGGCAACATGTCCAATCGCTATATAATTTATATTATTATTATTATTATTATTATTACTTTTCAACAAACAATCCATAACCTTAAGAGGAATAAACATTACACTCAGTGGGTCAAGCTCTTTAATGTACCCTTTAGCGTGTGGTCACCTAAAGGTCTCAGCTATATAGCTAGTGCAATTGGTAAATCTTTATTTGCAGATGCTAACACTTAGACCAGAAATATGATTGACTATGCTAGGGTGTGTGTTGAAGTTACCCCTTTATCTCAATTTCCCAAATCATTTCAAGTTAGAAACAAGGGTAAAATGGAAACCATTAAAGTCCAATATCCCTTGATGCCTTTAGGCTACACCAATTGTACTGTTTTTGGTCACTCCACTGACCAATGTAGGGCTCTACCCACCAATATTGAAGTTACTCGTGAGGTTAAGGAAATCCCCTTGGCTGTTAATGGGGGATCATAGTCTAAAGCATGGCAGAAGGTCACAAGGAAGAAAAGAAACTAGAAGGCCAATTGTACACCAATTCTAAATCCTTTCCCGAAGTACATCACTAGTACACCCCAACAAAAGGCATCCACTTCAAATGGTCTTCTACAACTTGCTTCTGAAATTATTAATAGTCCATCACCAATAGGGATATGCAGGAGTGCCCTACCCCTCACTGTTAACACACTTGATCATCCACTGCAAACTGAAGTTGTGACGACCCAGATTTTTCAAGCCAGTGTGTCATGTGATGAACCGAAGTTTGATCCAATAACGGATCCTGAATGCGGAAGCAAAATTAGAAACCAAGTCTCTAGAGATACAATACATCTCTAAGACACCAAAGTGACCTTCCATGAGGCCATGGAACTCAACGAGAACGAACGCAAAAGAAAAAGCTTAAAAATAGACCAAGTATACCCCCAAGGGCAAAATGGTCTTTTCATACAGAAACAAAGTCTTTAGAGATGTATATTATCCCTTAAGACACAAGTGTAACTTCCCATGAAGTCACGGGACTCAAAAGAAAACAAAGCAGAAGCAAAAGTTAAAAAAAAAAAGGAACAAGTTTAGCCCTAGGGGCAAAATGGTAATTTACATAAAGACATAGGTGCCACCGAGCACACCATTGGATAGACAACGAAAAATTAACGAAGTTTGACTGAAGAATCACCTGATTCGGAGTCCGGACGAAGGAGTTAAGGTTAAAACAAAAATCGACATTGAGACAGCCAAGACGGGGGTACCATGGGCGCCCACGACGCATGCCACGCGTATGCGTATGGTAGCCCCCTGACATGCCATGTTGGCTGCACCCGATTCCCGACTTGAAATGTTGTTTTGAAGGCTTAAATGGCATTTTTTGGAAGAAAAAAAAGTTGTGAAATAACCCCCCTCAAAAATCATATTTTCTACATAACCATGTCAAGAGAAGTTTTTATTTTTCAAGTAAAATACCCAAAATGCCCCTTAAACCAGACTTTTTTCTAAAAAAAAGTGCACGCACAAGAAAATCAGATTTGACGTGAGGTTTTCGAGACCGAGACAACATTTTTTGGAAAAATGTTGTGAACAAACCCTCCCCCCAAAAATCACGTTTTCTATGTGACCATGTCAAGACCGAAATTTATTTTTCAAAGCAAAAATCCTCAAAATGCCCCTAAACCAGATTTTGCATAAAACTAAAATAAAATTTGCTTCAAGTGTTCAAATGACCGAAATTGAAGTTGTGTGCTAAAACGATTGTGCATGCAAACGTAATTAGCATTTTAAAATGCAGGGGAATGGTCTGCGGCCCGCAAATATGCCCGATGCAAAATTGAACCTACCAAACCTCAAATTTTCCTAAAATGAGGTTTGAAGGAAAAACTTGAACCTAAAATTCATAAATACAAATGAAAAGGCGTTTGGCCCTTGGCCAGACTTCAAATATATTAAAAGAGTCTTAATGAGTGTAATGACACAGTCATTTCCTTCCTTTTCTTTTTTTCCATTTTTACGGATTAATTTTTTTTCATTGAAATTTCCTTTCACGTAACCTCTCTCTTCATGCTCGGATTTGGTTTTTGACTTCACGTACTTTCATTCTTGTTGGTTTCCTTGAAAGACGTAGCTTTACTTTTGGAGAAAAGTTCGCCGGTCGTTTCTTTTTTTCCGTAGGGGCGTGGATGAAAAGATTCTTCAGAAACATTTTCGCTTTTTGGAGTGTTTTTCATAAATATCTTTTCAAGATATTTTGACTTGGGAGTTTTTAAGAAAATATCTTTTGAAAGATATTTTCATTTAGGTCACTTGCACAATTATCCTTTTGTGTTGGGGCTTTTGTGCAATTAATTAAAGTTAATTGCAAAGTGTCTCCTTAGGTCTTGAATCCTCATATAAGATTCATTTTCACATTTTGTAAAGTCGCATACTCTTAGAATTGTCTTGCGGTCGAACTCCCCAGTTTTCGAGTTTTTGACCCTAGTTGCCGCTAAACTTGTTTGGGGCATATATCTCTGCTCGGGACTCGGTTTTCGATACTATTTCTTCCGTTGTTCATTTTTTCTCATTTTGGTTCTTTTTTGTTCATCGCATTTTGCAGTTTGAGCACATCCGCTCAAATTCCACTTTTCAGGACCCGACGGGCCTATTTAGGGCACTTTTAAGGTTTTTCTATAAATAGGGGGTTCTAAAATGAAAAGTCAAACCATTTCATCTCTTTCCCCTCTCTTGGCTAGCATCTTGGGCTGCCACCTTCTTTCTCCTCCTTTGGACTTCTTCCCTTTAGTAAAAAGTGGTGATGCCTTAGTGTTTATCGTAGGCCTTAACGATGCGGTCTTTTCCCCCTTATTAGAATCTGTTTTTAGCCATTTTTTGAGTTTGGGTCTGAAGCCAAGTTTGGATTTTGGTATGATCTCCTTAGTTTTTAATGACCACCTTGTTGTCCCCGACAAAACCTCGAAATTTCATAGGATTCAAAACGATTTCATTTCGGTGAGGTTCATCTCAAATTGAGGTAGGGGATGTCTTAGATTTATATTAATGTTGTATTGATTGTTTTATAAGCTTATACAACTTGTATGCATGTCTATGTATTTTATCTAGAATTTAATTTAATTATTTTCTTTGTATAAGATTTAATTCTCACAATTGTGTATAGCTTGGAATTAAGTTGTGGCATGCTATTAAATTAGGCCTTGATATGTTTATTAACATGTATTAAATTGGGATTATTTGAATAAGTATCGAAACTTCTATTTAATCTTTAACTTGTATGAAAGTTTAACTCATATGGTTGTAACTAGCATGAAACAAACTTGTAATTTGATATTAAAATAGGTCTTAGTATATTCCTTAACTTATGTTAAATTGGGGACATTAGGAGTTGTTTAAAAATCA